CAGTACAGGTCTTATATATGATTTAAGATATTTCTATGGAATTTGGTGAAAACGGATGTCATATGATCTGATTCGGACTTAAATCGAAAAGTTGATGTTTAAAGAAGTTTTGAGAAAATTTCATTGATCTCGAGATTTAATTTGATGTTCATGATGTTATTTTGACGATTTGATTGCACGAATAAGTTCGTACAATGTATTTGAGGATTTTGTGTATATTTGGTTTGGAGCCCCGAGGGCTCGTGTGAGTTTCGGGTAGGTTCTGGGATNGTTACGCGCCGCAACAATATTATTATTGTATTGTTGTAGATATTGAATTGTCCTTTCATATCGTATTAAGTTGCTGTTGGATTTGGTATGTTCCCCGAAGCATGTACCCCCTCCCATTTAAACTGCTTATTCCTCTTTATTTTCCGCCATATGTTATATAACTGCACAGGCTTATCTGGAGTCCGATCCTAGCCTCGTCACTACCTCGCAGAGGTTAGGCTAGACACTTACCAGCACATGGGTTTGGTTGTGCTGATGCTACACTTTGCATTCTGTGCAGATACTGGAGCAACATTAGATCAGTAGCTTAGGAGCCAACCTTCAATCCACCGAGATTCCGAGGTAGTCCTGCAGGCGTTCGCAGGCCCGACGTCTCTTCTATCTATTATCATGTTCTGTTATCACTTGTATCCGAGACCAACTGTGTTTCTTTCCTTTAGACAATTATATGTAGTAGTCATAGACGGTCCGTGAATGTTGTGACACCAGTTCCTGGGTAGAGGCATGTGTTGATTTCCGTATTATTTTGGTATATTTTGTGTAGGTCTTCCACCTAATCTCATATTCCACTGTTATTTAAATGTTTATCACTTATTAATATAAGTTGTCAAAAGGATTAAAACAAAAGAGTTAAAAATTCCTAATTTCGTGGCTTGTCTAGCTTCTACGAGTAAGCATCATCATGACTCCCGAGGGTGGGAAATTCGAGTCGTGACATGATAAAAATAGAAGAAAAAAACAAGTTAAAAATTACTTACCCAAGAGGTTATGGTGAAGAAGTTCTTCAAAAATCGCCCAAGAGGTATGGAGAAGATGAAGTTTTGTGAAAAATAATAAAAATCCCGTATGGCATTCTGTTTTTGAAACTTAAAATAACTGGGCGAAATTGCTCATCGTGTTCGCGATAGGCTCATTCCGTTCGCGATGAGTCAGGGCTGAGGGACCTTCGTGTTTGCGTAAGTGAGCTCGCGTTCGCGGAGGAGAAACTCTTCAAGCCCTCGCATTCGCGTCCAGGTGGTCACATTCGCGTAGGGTATAGTACCCCTCCCCCTGCCCAGGCTATAAGCCTTCCCCCTGCCCAGGCTATAAGCCTTCGCGTTCGCGATACCAGGTCCGCGTTCACGAAGGGAAGACCCCCCAATGCCTCACGTTCATGACCTGGGTTACACGTTCGTGTAGAAGGAATTTTCCTTCATTACAAATAACACATCGCGTTCGCGAGGGTCCTCCCGCGAACGCGAAGAAGAAAGTATCAGCACACCAGAACAACTGTTTTCTGCAATTTTCACAAGTCCTAAACCTTCCGAAACACATCCGAAACTCATTCAAGCCCTCGGGGCTCCAAACCAAACATGCCTACTAACTCAAAAACATCATATGAACTTATCCGTGCGATCAAATCGTCAAATTAACCCCTTAAACAATGAATTAAACCTCAAAATCAATGAAAAATTCAAAACTCTTAAAGCATCAAACTTTGCATTTACGGTCCGAATCACGTCAAACGGATTCCGTTTCTTGCCAAACATCACAGAATTATCTTAAATCATATATAAGACTTGTACCGGGCGCCGGAACCAAAATACGGGCCCGATACCAATATGTTCTAATCAAAATTCATTTCAAATTCCTTTAAACAATTTCAGAAAATAAATTTCTTTAAAAATTTATTTCTCGGGCTTGGGACCTCGGAATTCGATTCCGGGCATACGTCCAAGTCTCATATTTTCCTACGGACCCTCCGGGACCGTCAAATCACGGGTCCGGGTCCGTTTACCCAAAACGTTGACTGAAGTCAAATTCATTTATTTTACAGTCAAAACTTATCATTTTCACAGATTTTCACATTTAGGCTTTCCGGCTACGCGCCCGAACTGTGCACGCAAATCAAGGTGACATTAAATGAGGTTTTCAAGGCCTCGAAGCGTACAATTTCATTTTAAAACAAGTGATGACCTCTTGGGTCATCACAATGGGACCATTCACCTGCCATGTATACCACATAATATGCATTTATGAGATGGTTGCATGTGCGATTATTATAACCCACAACCTGGTATTTATATGGTAACTTGCTCAATAATTTAATTTAGAGCATAATATTTAGATTTTCTATTCAAGACAGTTCATCTTGATAAGTTGGTTTACATCACAATTGGTTTATCAAAATGATTTATTGAGTGCCTCCACTTAATAGCTAAATTGTTGCTTATGAGAACAAACTTATATACATCAGTTTGATATATGTTATATATGAAAGTATATTACATTCTCTCCTTACAAGTGCTTCAGGGTCAGGAACCAAATAATTCCATCGTATTATTATTAATGATCAGTGTGTATTTGATTAGCACCAAAACACACAAAGATGGGTTTTCAAAGTTGAGGAAGCAAGTTAGTTTTTCTAACATGAACATGATACAACAGTTGAGAAAAAGTTACATGAAATAAATTATTATTTATGGATCTAGATCATCGAATAAGATAATATAAACTTGAAGTTCATAAAAAGATATTTCATATGCAATATAAAGCAAAGCATGCCATACGCATTTGCTGACCCAAAGAAAGTAACAATATTCTCACTACAAATGCTCCTATTATAATAAGCCCTAGAAAGACAAAGTCTATGGTACGCTTAAAGCGTATAGACAAATCGGTTTCAGATAAAATTTCTTGATAAATAAGATGAGCAAATGATCATAATAAAGGAGGCAAGTGGTTTAGAAGATCACATAACATAACACTTCATAAAATCTCAGGAGGGATTCAGGTACCTGAATATATGAATGAAGAGATCTCTATATTATGTCTATATGAAAATAAGGAGGTCGGAACCGATATAAAATGTTTGTCGACGACATCTATAATATATATATGAGGATCTTAAGTCTAGAGAAACAATCTCGAATAGAAATTGGTTTCATATGAAAGACATGTAGTTTTGAACATGTAATTCAAATACTTGAAAGTATAAAGTCAATGGTATGCGCAATTAGTTTTTGATGTCTTATTTGTCTAGCATGACATGAAAACTTGATATGCATATAATTAAAGTCTATTATATGATTTATATGACTTAACTTATATGACAATCTTTGAATGATTTAAATTGCTTAAAGCATATACAATTCTTGATCTTGAAGTACCACATACTAAGTGCAATTTGTGCACATGATCTTGTTATAACTATAAACATGATAATTTGATAGCAAAAATACCTCTATGGAGATATTGAAAAGGCTATTCCACGACATTATATGAAGACATTACATATCTATCAAGAACGATTATTTCAAGGTTCAACATATTCATTCAAGTTAATATGGCTGATTTGTTTATCAAATCTCTACCAATGATCTTTTGAAGATGGAGCACAAGATTGGAATGTGAAGGCTCAAAGATGTGAATTGATGCTCTCATCAGGGGGAGTTAATACGCGTTGTACTCTTTTTTCCTTACAAGATTTTGTCCTACTGGGTTTTTCTTTCAAGGTTTTTAACGAGACAACCAAAAGGCGTATTGTTAGATATGTGTACTCTTTTTTCCTTACTACAATTTTTTTCTCACTGGATTTTATTTTAGTTAAGGTTTTAATGACTCATTATTTGTTGAATAGACATTCAAGGGAGAGTGTTATAAATAGAGTTGTATTTAAGGTGAATGTTTATATTTTAGAGAGATCTTAGGGTTTGTTACTTGGTGGCTAAACCATTTTTCCCTATAAATAGAGCGTTCTATTCAATTATAAATTATCCCAAATCAATAAGAATCTTCTCTTTACTTTTCTCTGCAATACTCTTCTTGTTTTATTGTTTTATAACAAAATTTACATATTTGTTACTTTAATATATAAAATTTATTATGATAAATTTCTTTTAATATCAACCGTGCATCGCGAGGATACTAATATTAGTTGCTATTTAATTAGATTCTAGTAATTTCGTCGATTGATCAAATATAATTCTCCATTTCTAAGTATCATCACTCATCTCTACTCCTTTTCATCCAAATACATTACAACATTCACGAGAAGAATTACACGACATCTTCTTATTTTGGACTAATGTAATTTACTACGTGTTCTTTGGTTAATTATGTGATTGAAGCGCTAACAAGGAGCCGATTCACTATAGTAGCTGCGAATGTAGACTAAACAATTAGTTCTGTTAAGATTAATTAAATATTTAGAGTGTTAGTTTATATAACTCAATATTTTTTGGTGTCCGATCCGAAAATTGTTTCTTTTTAAATACTCAATCACTTGGACCAATAAATATCATATTTTATTCTCCACCTAAAATTAAGTGCCCGTTTGGATACAAAATTTGATGGAAATTTTTTCCTTTTTTCCAAAAATAGAGTTTGTCCATAAAATTTTCAATTTTCACTTGAATATGCATTTTAGAAATTTTCGAAAATGTGAAAAACTTCAAAAAACTATTTTTCAAAATTTTCACTCAAAATTTCAAAAACAACCTAAGCTCAAATTTATGTCCAAACACAACTTTAAATTTCAAATACCATTTTTAGTTGAAATATTTTTCCCCCATTTTTTCGAATTTTACTTGAAAACGCCTATTAAAAAGAAGATGAAGAGGACCTTTTATTATCCTATCCCACGTGTGTAATACTTTAACGTGAAACACTGGCGCTAGGAGTAGAAAATATACTCTGTATATATAGAGGTACAATTAGAAGGTAAGATACTCCAAACTCTCGCTACATTTTTCACTCAAAATTCAAAATGATGAGCAGGAACTGGGTTTCCATGGCGGTTCTTTCGTTCACGGTTGCGTTCCTAGCGACAACAGTAATGGCCCAAGGCAATATGCCAGAAACTGACGCTTTAGCTGCAACGCCGCTCAGATATAATTATTATGAAGGACAATGTGAAAGGGATGTAGAGGAAATGGTGTGGTCTACGATGCAGAGAATAGTACTGATGCAACACAACGCACCCGCCCAACTCTTGCGCCTGCTCTTCCATGATTGTTTCATTGGGGTACCGTAACCTACTCTCCCATTTACTCTCCATTTTCTTCTTTCATTTTTTCTTAATCTGTAATTTCTTTGTGCTCCACATTTTGTTACTTTGTTGCAATTTTTCAATTCTTGATGTTTTTTTTTTTTTTTTTTTTGCATTGTTTAGATTATTCTAATTCATTAATCGAGTGTTCTGTGGGTTCTAGCTCTAGGTTTACTTTTTCTTCTTTTTGAGATAGGACTTGGGAGATGGGGATGGGGTTAGGGATTCTTTAATTATGTGGAGAAGCAAGTCTTAATATGATGCTGGTTTTTGCACTTCTTACTGTTATTCTTGGTTCTACTATGTATGTGATTGCGATTCCAGTATACAATACTTCTATTCTATTTCATGCCTTATCTCACTCTAATATTTTTCTTGCATGTAATGAATGTGACTTCATTTTCATTTCCTCTAACATTTCTTTAATTAGCTTTGGAATTCTTCATCTATTCCATTATGGCCTTTTAATTCTTCATATGTACTTATTTGTCCTCGTGCCTTGGGTTAGTCTTTTCGAAATCAAGGATCTTAACTGCTCCAACTGATTCAGTTACTGTTGTCATTCTTATTTTCAGAAAACATATTGTGGCTTTATTTGTACTTTTGCGCGTGTGTGCACAATTTGTTCTTTCGTGGCCAGCCCTGTAGTTCCTGATGTGAGCAATAGCCCTTGTATTTCCTCAAATGTATTTGTCGATTTTTCTTCTTTTTAATTTTCTTTTTGATCTTAATTTGTGTGCTGTGCACTTGTCATTCTTCGTATGTTCTCATGTATATTTGTGCCTCGTCTTAGTTGTTTGATTTAGATGCAGTTGGTTTCAACGGTCAGTTGCTCTTTGAGTTTCAAATGCACACTCCTCTTATTCTAACTATATATTTTTCAGCCTTACCAATCTGCTCTCCTTGCTTACTGAGTTTAGTATTCCCTTTACTTTAAAGGAAAAAGTTGGATATGTATAATGTCAATGAAGTTTTTACGTTTGAATCCTAATAGCCATTCTAACACTCTGACAACTACTAATGTCACCTGTGAAGATAGTCAAGATTCGATATAATTTCTTTGTTTTTTGTTTCTAAGTTCTTATATTTATGAAAATTTCTTGTTATGTTCATTCCAGGGCTGTGATGCATCTGTTTTGCTTGCTGACAGTAGTAAGAATGAGACTGTTGAACGTGAGGCAATCCCAAATCGGACGCTGAAAGGCTTCAATTTCATCGACATGATAAAGGATGAAATTGAGGAGGCATGCTCTGGGGTGGTCTCTTGTTCTGATATCCTTGTCCTTGCAACAAGAGATGGTGTCGTTCTGGTATGAGTCTAGCCTAATTCTTTGTTTCCTATAGTAACTACCTGAAGTTTCTCAAATGAATATCGTTAAATGATCTTGCTGTGCATATTCAGATGTTGCTATTACATAACAAAAACTTCTGATACCTCCTAGTGGTATTATTTGTTAACAATACAGTTCTGATAATGATAATCTCTGGCTCTTTTTATTTATTTATTTATATTTTTTTTCTGGGAACTGTGGGAACGGTGACTCTAATGCTATGCTACTCTCAACTGTCTATTTTACTGAATTTCTCATAAGAATGTATTGATATGATTTGGCCAAATAACTATAACCCACTTCACCACCTCCCCGAAAAGATAAAACAATCTCTTACAGAATAGTATATTGAAGTGATCACTTACTAGCTAGAGAAGTACTTCCCATTCTTCTTTTCACTTTATGGATTGCATAGTTTTTCCAGTTGCAATCTTAACAAGGCGCTGATCAGACTGATAAGGGTTTAGGACATTCGTGGAAGATAGTTATTACGATTCAGATGATCAAGTGACTGTGGGTGGGAGAAAGGGAATTCTTAGTGGAGCCATTTCTATTGGAAGAAAGTCTATTTAGGATCTTATTGAGGTGGTGAGGAACGAGTCGTTAGAAGAAAATCCATGCTAGAAATTGAAAAGGTTATTTCGCAAGTGTGTGAGCTGGTCGCGATGAATTGATCAGGTAGTTGTTTTTATAACTTTAAGCTAGTTCATTTTGATATAACCCAAGAATTGATACACTGAAACTATATTAGTTCGAGGTGAGAGCTTAAGCACAATATGAGTTATATAAGTTCCCATATAGCAGTAGATACTCTTGGATATTTTAGATGAGAGGGAAACAGTGGCACTCCTTGGTATTCTTTCTGATCCCATTACTTTAGTCTTCATACACTGCCCCTTATTTTTGCAATATATATTTATTGAAATTCTTTGTTCTTTTTTTCTTACACCTGAAGGACATAATATTGGGAAGATTGGTTGTCCAGAGAATAACAGCACCATCAACAATATGTTCAATGAACGAATAGCTAGGAGTCTGAGTGAGTCTGCTATGTCATACTCTCGGGGACTGTCCGCATTTTCCTCAGTTGGAGCGTCATTTGATAATCACTATTACAAGACATTAATGAGAGGAAGAGGGCTACTGTTTGCTGATCAACAGTTGATGGCTAATGAAAAGACTGCAGAAGTGGTGATTGATTATTCTTTGGATGACGGGACTATGTTCCGAACAGAGTTTGCTCATGCCAATGGCTAAATTGTCAGATTTTGGCGTTCTTACTGGATCCCAAGGAGAGGTTCGGCATAGCTGCTCTCATCTGAATTCTAACCAGTGAGAGCTACTGATTGGAGCATTTATGTACAATATGATATAGACTAGTTACACTTACTTCTTTTGTGTTGAAGCAGTGATACTTAAAAGGAATTTGATCTTATTGGATTAAGAAACAAGTGCTAAATTGCAAAAGCATTTAGGGTCATATCCCATGTCGACATCTTCTTTTGATGTTTCATATTTCAAATACACAATTGATGAAAAAGTATGAAACCTAGATTTGATTCGAATGACACAGAAAGTTAAATATTCTGGATCTATTCTTTAACTCACTATGATGGCCCTTATTTCTACAATAATTAGACCAAGAGTTGATGTCGGTATTTGACATAAATTCATGGTACGAGTAAACATCATAAATAAAGTATTTTGCAAAATCTTAAACTATGAACATCATAATCAAGATTTGTGTTGTTTTATCGGATGTCCCCGAAGGGACTAAGATTTACATCACCCTAATATTTTTTTTCTTCTAGGCTTAAAATAATTATTGAAAAATAACATAAAAACATACATGTAACATTGTTAACAACGATGGATCAATAGGGAATAATATCATAGATTGAAATCAGATCTGAGTAGGGTGGCAGATTTAAATATAGATGATCATCCGTCTAGAATCTGCCACGCCGAGTTTCTTCTTCTCCCTCCAAGACTTAATTGTTCAAGGGCTAGGCTATATGGCTATATATAACAAACGAATCGTTGAAATTTCAAAATATTTTTCTCTTTCTCTAGGGTTAATTAGTTTTCCTTTCAAAAATGTATATTCAGCAGCCACACATCCTAACTGTGACGACCCGGCTGGTCCTCTTAAGAATTAACGCTCCAATCCCCTATTAACCGCTTTCTCCAAGTTTAATTCTGCTAATTTGATTCGCCGAGATGTTCGGTTGTGAGTTTCGGAGAGTTTTGGGACACTTAGTCCCTAAATGAGAGCTTAAGTGTTGGAAAGTTGACCGTAGTCGAAACAGTGTGAAGACGGTCTCGGAATGGAAATCCGATGGTTCCGTTAGCTCCGTTGGGTGATTTTGGGGTTAGGAGCTTGTTCGGAATGTGTTTTGGAGGTCCGTAGCTAATTTAGGCTTGAAATGCCGAAAGTTGAAATTTTGGAAGTTTCCGGTTCGATAGTGAGATTTGGATCCGAGGGTCGGAATGGAATTCTGAGAGTTGCAGTAGTTTCGTTATGTCATTTTGGGTGTGCGTGCAAAGTTTCAGGTCATTCGGACGAGGTTTGGTAGACTTTTTGATCGAAAATGTGTTTTTAGAGTTTTTGGAATTTTTAAGCTTGAATTCGATGAAAAATAGGTATTTTGATGTTGTTTATGATGTTCCGAAGGTTGGAACAAGTTTGAATGATGTTATGGGATATGTTCGTAGGTTTGGTTGAGGTCCCGGAGGCCTCGGGTGTGTTTCGGATGCTCAACGGGTCATTTTGAGTTGTTAAAAAGTTGCAGAAATTCAGGTTCAGGTGTTGCAGACTTTTCTTCATCGCGATCGCAGCCATCCATTCGCGATCGCATAGTGTAATTCCGGAGGGGGATCAATTCCTTCTTCGCGATCGTATCACTTGACTCGCGATCACATAGCACTGCCTCATTCCTCTTTCACGTTCGCAGCTGCCCCTTCGCGTTCGCGTAGTAGAAACTGAGCCGGTGGCTTAGTAGCCCAATTTCTTCTTTGTGTTCGCGTGTCTTCAACCGCGATCGCATAAGGCCATCTCTTCATCTTTCGCGATCGCGTGCCTCTTGTCGCGTTCGCGTAGGACATTTCCTGGAGCCTTCATTTTTACTCTTCGTGATCGCAGGCCTTCTTTCGCGATCGCGATGTACAATACACCTGGGCAGATATAAGATTTCAAAATCGAGAGTTTAGCCATTTTTATTAAAACTTAAGCTTGGGAGCTCGGATTTGAGCGATATGTTGAGGGATTTTCAGAGATATCGATTGAGTAACGATTCTAAACTCCTTTTTGCTTGTAACCCACTAATCTAAGCATGAATTCCTCCTTTAATTTCGGATTTTGAATAAATATTTGATAAAACTTCTTAGGCCGAATAATTGGGGTTTGATGGGGCATTTGACATCGTATTTAGATAATTTTAGTATGATTCGACTCGTGAGAGTACGAGGTTTCTGGAAATATAAATTTCACCCGATTCCGAGATGTGGGCCCGAGGGGCGTTTTGGTCATTTACATAATTTCACGTATTAGCTTAGAATTTTATTGTAGAATCAGCTTCTTGAAGTATTATTTACATTATGAAATGAAATTGAATAGATTTGGGCCATTTGGAGTCGGATACTCGGGGCAAAAGCGTGGTTTCTAGTTGATTTTGAGCCGGTTCGAGGTAAGTGGATTGTCTAACCTTGTGTGTGTGGGGGGGGGACCTTCCCCTTAGGATTTGGTATATTTGGTAATTGAAATGCCTTGTACGTGAGGTGACGAGTGCGTACTTGTGCTAATTGTTGGAAATCCGGTTTTCTTTAAGTAAATACTAGTATGTTTCCTTTCCTGTTTCTATTACTTGCACTATTAAACCTATTGTTAGCTTAGGAAAGCATGTCTAAGTGACTTAATTGCTTTATTTGATTCAACATGCCTTACTTGAATTCTGTGCAGCATGCTAGGTTAGAATAACTTATTGCCTTAATATGAGATTTTGCCATTTCTGTATATCTTCTTGTTGCTGCTTTGTATTTACATTGGGTCTACGAACGTGGGATTCCGGTAGCTCCCCCTTATTTGTTTACTTTGTGACTACGGGTTAGATTCCCGATAGATCCCCCTGCACATTTACTTTGGGACTACGGGTTAGATTCCCGGTAGATCCCCCTACACAGTTATATGGAACTATGGGAATGCACCCGATAGATTCTCTTAGTACTGGGTATTTACATTTGGGACTACGGAATGGGATTCCAGTAGATCCCCGCGCACTATGAGTTAGACTATGGGACGGTATCCCCGTAGATCCTTCAGATATATATATGATGGACTACGGGACGGTATCCCGGGAGATTCACTTGATATGTAAAGATGGGACTACATGATGGTATCCTAGGAGATCCCCGGTTGTTACTATCGGTGCTGAACTGTATTTCCTTTCCATGTTTACCTTGTTCTGTATAGTTGTTGTTGTTCTGTTCACCCTGTGTTATTTTACTGTTGTACTCATTTATACTGTTCCATTCTGTACTGTTAATCTTTATATCTTATTTAACCTCAGTAGGGCCCTGACCTCCCTCGTCACTATCCAACCGAGGTTAGGCTTGGTACTTACTGAGTACCGTTGTGGTGTACTCATGCCTCTTTTGCGCATGTTTTTCATGTGCAGATCAAGGTACCGTTGATCAGGCCTACTATAATTGAGGGAGGCGATCTCTTAGAGACTCCGAGGTACATCTGCCGCGTCCGCAGACCAAGGAGTCCCTTTCTATTCATGCCTTTAGTATTTAGCCCTTCTGTACTTTTCTGTTCTTTGTTAGAAATTCCGGAGTTAGAGCTATGTAGTATTTCTTTTCTTAGCTTGTGATTCGTGGGTTTCCGGGTCTTGGATTTATGTTTGGTGTTGAGAGTTAAACATGGTGTATGTCGAGCGGCACATTTACACACTGTTACTACTTTATCTCTATTTTTAACTTGTTTTACTTCCGCAAGTTTGGTTATCTTCCGCAATTTAGGCTTACCTAGTCGTAGAGACTAGGTGCCGTCACGATGGTTCACGGAGGGCGAACCAGGGTTGTGACAAGTTGGTATCAAAGCTCTAGGTTCATAGGAGTCATGGATCACAAGCCGATTTATTAGAGTCTCGCTGATCAGTACGGAGACGTCTGTATTTATCTACGAGAAGCTATGTAACTGTTAGGAAAATTCCACTTCATTTGATTTCCTTGTCGTGCGATATTTTGGCATCACCATTCTAAACTTTTGTCTTCTATTCTCTCACAGATGGTGAGGACACGTGCTACCCGAGATGATTAGGTACCCGCGCCCCTACTGCAGCCGTCAAAGGCCGGGGCTGGGGTAGAGGCCGAGAATGCGCATGTGGTGCAGCTAGAGCACCTGCGCGAGCTGCCGCCGAGGTACCACCAACGGATCCAATCGGAGTCCAGGCACTTGACACACCTACTACTACTACTACCACACCAGCACTTTAGGAGACTCTGGCATAGTTTATGAGCATCTACACCACTTTGGCTCAGGCAGGGTTGCTTTCCCTTGCTACGGCCACATCCCAGGCCGGGGGAGGAGCACAGACTCCTGCCGCCCGCACTCCTGAGCAGCGAGTGCATGTTGAACAGGTCCCTGAGATTATTCCTGTACCACCTACAGTGCTAGCTCAGCCCGAGGATAGGGCAGTTGCTTCCGAGGATGAGCAGTTGAGGCTTGAGAGGTTCAAGAAGTACAAGCCTCATGTATTTAGTGGTCTAGCATTGGAGGATGCTCTGGGATTTCTTGACAAGTGTTACCGCATTCTTCATACCATGGGTATATCAGGATCGAGCAGGGTTTCTTTCACTACCTTCCAGCTTTGAGGAGCCGCCTATGAGTGGTGGCGCACCTATGAGCTAGACAGTTTAGATGAGGCTGCTTTACTGACTTGGACTCAGTTTTCAGATCTGTTCCTGAGGGAGTATGTTCCTTAGAGCCTTAGGGACGCATGGCGCGCAGAGTTTGAGCATTTGTGCCTAGGTGCTATGACTGTTTCAGAGTATGCTGTCCGTTACACCAGTTTGGCTAGGCATGCACCAACCTTGGTTGCTACTATCCGCGAGAGGGTTCGCCGTTTTATTGAGGGCCTTATTCCCAGCATCAGGTCTAGCATGACTCATGAGTTGGAGATGGATATTTCTTACCAGTAGGTGGTGAGCATTACCAGGAGGATTAAGGGTATGCATGTTAGGGAGAAAGAGGAGAGGGAGGCCAAGAGGTCTCGAGAGTCGGGCCATTACTCTAGTGCCCGTACCTCACCTACAGGTCGTCATGGTAGGGGTTATATGAGTCGCCTTATTCATTCAGCTCTTCCAGCAGTCAGTGGTATTCCAGCTCCTCCTAGACCTCAGGAGCCTTATTATGCACCACCAGTATCTAGCGCGCCTCCTGCGCGGGGTGCTTTCAGAGGTCAATCCAGTAGACCTGGCCCGAGC